TCTCTCTCTCTCTCTCTCTCTCTCTCTCTCTCTCTCTCTCTCTCTCTCTCGGCCGACAGGTATGAGAGGATCGGAAGATTGAAGCAGCTCGGGATCGTGGGTGTCGGTGTCGGGCAGAGGAGAGGGTTGGAGGTCGGTAGAGGAAGGAGGCCGGGACTTGAGTGCGGGAAGGAAGAAGGAGTAGCGACTGGAGCTCGGCAGTGGGAGAGAGTCGTGTCTGGGGATTAGAATGACGGGAAGAGAGTGAGAGCGGGATTGAGAAGCAGCGAAGAAGGGCTTCGTTTGGGTCGGTATTTAACGACCTCAGAAATCAGCGATCGAGGGAGCGTACGCGGGAATCCTGCGAGGAGACTTGGACGGCGCCGAATCAGCCGGATTTCGGCAAGGTATCGCGGGATTTCGGGCAGGATTCTCGGAGAACTGGACTGAGTCGTCGTATACGAGGTATGCAGGATTCATGATTTCATTCCTCTTTTGTGTGGTTTACACAGAGGTTAACAAATTGCTAGAAAATTGATCATACTTGAGACTCAAGAAGTCTCTGATTCAACGGCTAGCACAAAAGACTTGTACAGGAAGTTAGATAGAACAAGCAATGCAAAGAAGCACGAAATTCATATTGCAAAACTATCTTCCATGGAAAACCTCCGCTATAGTGTATTGTTTAAATAGAAGAAAATAGCAGAGTTAGCAGCGAACGGTTGAGATTCCACATGCAACAGATCAGTAACGGTTGTGATTGCTCTGCTCAGAGAGTGAGTGCTTGTTGTACAAGGAAAATGGAGAGGCAAGCCGGTAATTGAACGTCTAGTGGTAGGATCAGTTGCCCAATCTAAATTCGAATAGGCATGGAGATCGAGAGACGAAGCAGTAATTGGAAGTTCCACATGAAGAGTGCCTCAGATATATCGTTGAACTCATTTTAGGAGGAAGTGTATCTCATAGGGCTTCTGCATTTGTTGACAGAGTATATTAATTGCTAAGGATATATCAGGACGTGCAATTTTAAGATGCTAAAGAGATTCAACCAACTATCTATAGTATTTAGGATTGGAATAGAGCTGGGAATTCTCTGTAAAAGGAGGAATTTTAGTTGGTAGGGGTGATTGAACAGTTTTGCAATCCTTCATGCTAGAGTGTTTTAACATAGTTGCACCATATAACAATTGTGATAGATGAAGATCACGTCCTAGAGGAATGACCTGTATGCCAAACAATTGAGATACATTTCCCAAGTTACACATCTTAAACCGCAGGTGGAATGCATAATGAAGAGAGGTGATAATGGAGAAATCATTCCCTGTAAGGAGTAGGAGTATGTCTTCTACATAAATGAGAATGTAGAGTTGAGAGTAGTCTTTATGATAGATGAATAACGATGGATCGACTGAGCTGTTGGTAAAGCCAAATTTAGATTAAAAAGTTGTGAATGTAGCAAACCATTGTCTCAGAGCTTATTTGAGACCATACAAAGCCTTCATCGGTAGACAAATATGATTCAGAAATTGAGTATCTTTGAACCTTGGAGGTTGCATCATATATATTGTTTCATCCAAAGGCCTATGAGGAAAGGCATTTGAAACATTTAGTTGTAGTGCATTCCATTGGTGTGCAAAGGCTATAGTAAATAGAATGCAAATTGTAGGGAACTTTGCCACATGACTAAAGGTGTCAAAATAGTCTAGTCCAAACTCTTGATTAAAGCCCTGAGTAACTAATCTTGCTTTATAGCGTGCAATAGAGCCATCAGCATTAAATTTAGTTCTGAATAACCATTTGCAGTTGAGTATATTATGATCTGGTGAGTAAGGAACCATTGTCCAAGTTCCTTGACTCTATAAAGTTTCAAACTCAGCCAACATTGCTTGTCTCCACACAGTATGTTTGACAGCTTGAGAATACGAGGTAGGATTGGTAGGAATGATTGAATGTTGTAAATCAAGGATTTTATTTGGTTGTAAATGACCAGCCTTAAGGCGGGTTACCATTGGATGCTTATTCTAGACAGGCGATGGTAAATGCATTGGTAGAGTGGAGTTAGATATGGAATGAGAAGAGGCTACAGAATTGGGGAGTGGATGGACTTATCCAGACTAGTTCAGCCAACCAAAATCGTATCCTTATTGTGGCCAATCAGACCTCTTTTTACAAGCTCGAAGTTCTCTCCTACCCCGGTAGAATGACGCAGGAGCGTCCACATAAATAAATTGTATTTTCTTATTAGTGATTGGTGTTGATCTATCTCTCGTGTAGCCTATTATGTGGCTACATGAAGTTTATAAATATAGGTGGGTGTCTTGTAATAGGATGGATTGGAATAAAATTTGAGTTGAGTTTAGTTAGTTTGTTTTCCTGTATCCTAAAAGTGATTCTTAGGTGGTGGATCCTTCCTCCAAGAAGTTCTTGGAGTTATTCGGCCAACCACTGGATCATCGACGTGGATTCATCAAGACCCCTCTGATAAGGTGTCATTTGGTATCATAGTCGGCAAGTTATTCCCGTTTTTGTCCATCGTTGTGTCGCCTCCGCCACCGACATCATTTGGTGGCGACCCGTCTTTTGTAGCAAACTGGCCTTGGTGGAAGAAAGAAAGCATCACCGTGTCGCCTCTGTCACTGGCGTCATTTGGTGGCGACTCATCTTTGATGGAAAATCGGCCTCGGTGGAAGAAAGAAAGCTCAAAGAAAATAAGAAGAATACATCAAGAACAACATTTTTGGACACCTTCTCTTTGTTATAATGTGCGGACTTCAAGACATCAACGAGAAGAGATTTTAACCTCTGAATTCCTGCTGCTGTCTGATTTTCACTTCTGGACAAAACAGTCATAGCTATCAAGAAGTGTGTTGGACGTCCATCCCATCTCCCTTGGAAATTATTGATTGCTTTGAAAATCTTGTTGATCTTGCTGGTTGAGACCTGTTGTGCCTGTACGGTGTCTGGTGTCAGGTGCTGTCCAATTCTTATGCACATAAGAAAGTTGATGTTATCTCGTCTCTTCCAAGGCCTCTAGGCCGACCATCCCAGGCGGAGGATTTTCAGGCATCAGTTTATCTAGAAGCCCGAACATCTCCAGTGGTC